TAATCCTAAGCCTAAGCCAGGCCGAGGCCCAAGCCTAAGCCTAAGCCTCCGCTTCTTCGCCCAATTTAAGCCTTGGCTTCCAAGCCTAAGCCTACTCTCCGCTTCCAAGCCTGGGCTTCCGGGCCTCGCCTTGGCTTCTCGCTTCCCAACCTTATTTCTAATTCTGAGTCTTGGTTTGTGTCGATGCCCGCGCCTCCGCTTCCGTCTTCCAAGCCTGGGCCTCCGCTTCCAAGCCTGCCCGCCTGCGCCTGCGCTTTCAAGCCTGGGCTTCAAACTCCTGAGCCTAATTCTGAGTTTTTGCCAGGCCGAGGCCCAAAGCCCAGCCTGGAACGCAAGCAACTGCTGCCAGACTTCACAACCCCTTTAGAGGAGTAGTTTACGCGCGTGGCAGCATGCGCGGATACGCCATGCTTCTTCCTAATCGAACATGCGCCGAAGGGTATCGAAAGGTAACGCTTTCACATTGCATAAGATTGCTGGATCAGGTTCTATCCTACGAACAAAAAAGTACATCTGGTGGGCCGATGCATGAGCCATTTGAGGACAGGGCTGATCCGAATTGGAGGTGCAGGGGTATGTTATGATGCACGTAATGGCCTGTAAAGTCGAAAAATCGCCAAAAATCGTTTAAGAATTGAGCCTTGGGTGAGCGCCTTTGTGAATTCGAAGATTTATCGAGACGATTCGCATCCGGACCGTCGCAAACCAGGCCCCGGATCTGGCCTGGATTTGCCGAAGCCTGGACCCGAACTAGGTCCAATCTGGCCGAAACCTGACCAAAACTTCTGGCCTAATTTGGCCTAAACTAGATCCGAACCAATCCGGAATTATGCTGATACCTGGCCCTCAACCAGTTGCCGGCTGGAGGTCAAGGTATCGAATTTTTAATTTGGCAATAAGCTTTGGAATTTTAGGAGCTTCAGTCCTGGATTACGATGTCTCCGCGCAACCACAGAGTGCGGAAAGGAGGGATCGTATCGCTCGGGGTTAGACTCGCTTAACGGAGCTGTTGCTGCGTGTTGCTCGTAAGTTGTGCGTGCTGGTAGAAGGAGAGAGAGGAAGAGAGAGAAAGCGAGAGAGAGAGAGAGAGAGAGAGTACTCGATGACGTCTGTATTTAGCGGTCAACAAATCCAGACACTCCCATGTCCAAAATGAGAAAAACCATCACCACCCATTCTGTTTGTGATCCCATACAATGACGCACGTGTTTGAATCTATCCAAAAAATTTTTGAAATCTTCTAAATTGCGCTGAAAATCTCTAAAAAATCAGAAATTTTTAGGATCCATTCTTGCCGAATCCAGTTTGGAGGATGTCGGCTATTAACATCAGGAAAATGAAGAAGCGAATATGCCAACCAAATAAAATTTTTGTTAATACTATTAAACTTTACTGTACTTACAAACATAAAAATCAGCCGTCCTTGCCCCTTTAATCTGATTTTCTTGGTTTTTTCATGATTTTCGATGCCCATTCCCACCATCCATCGCTTCCAAACTTCCCACCATTCCCAGGACTTGACAGAATATATTGCCAGATGCCAAACTACTGTTTTCCCATGCGCACGCAACATCGAGCGATTTATGACCCAGACTTCTCTCGATTTATGCTAATTCTTGCTTTTAAGTTCGAAAAACTTTTGGTGAAGTCATTTCAAAAGTCATGAAGGATTTGGCCTTAAGCCCTGGCTAGTCTTGCCAATTGTTTGCAGTAGCTTTTTAAAGGGACTAGCGAGTGATCAATCGCCGTGAAATGCCGATTTTTCGTGTTACACGTTATTTATGTTTACAGTTAAAAATATCCTTCCAGATCCCTTTAAAAATATATACTTTCAATATTAGTAGCATTCCTGCTTGCCAACGCTCGCAAGTGCGCCGTATGTCCGACTGGAGGTAATCAGGATCCCGTTTTACAGCTAATTAGCATAATTTTGAGGGAGCCTGGACCGACTGGGAGGAGGTCGGCGAATGTTCGGGGTTTTGTGGTTACATGGGCAGACAGAATGAGACCAGAAATTGTGTTTCCGAGCGATATGGATGCCCTTGCGGAGTAAGTTTAAGGCCGCTTGACGCGAGAAGGACGCGTGTGAGGGTCTATGGCGTAGTGGCTAGGGCCCTGGGTTTTGAGCACAAGAAAGAGTTGGGTTCGATTCCGCCAAGGTGACAGGTTTTTTGTCTTGACCAGGAGTATTAGAAAAATGGTTGGAAACCTTGAAATTCCTATATTTAGCGGGACCGAGCAGCAGATCGATCCCTTTCAACCGTACCCTTTGTCTCTTCCCTTTGCACCGTTGCGCCGATGGGTATAAAGTGGTAAGTGTTTTGGCAAGCAGTCCAAATTCCAAAAATGACTAAATCACAAAGTTCTTTGAGGGCGGCCCGATCGACAAATTGTGGGTTTGTGTCCCCATTGACTCCACCGACGCCGGACCCGCTGGAGTCGCAGGTGCCGGATCCGGATTGGGAGTGCACTGGTAGGCTAGTTTGCATAGCCCATGCGTATTCTGCCGTGGCGCATAAAATCCAAAGGTATCGAGTCCCTTAGAATTTGTAACCCCAACAACGACCCCGAAACCGACGACGACAACCACTTCAACAAGTACAACTACTACGACCACGACCACGACCACGACCACGACCACGACCTACTACCACCACTTCAACGACGACGACTACGACAACGACGACAACAACTACTACGAGTAACGACTACTACCACTACCACGACGACGACGACGACCACGACTACGACGACGACGACCACGACAACAACGAGTACGACTACTACGACGACGTCGACAAGTACTACTGCAACAACCACCACTACGACGCCGACTACCACGACGACCACGACGACCACGAAGACCACGACGACCACGACGACTACTACCACTACGACAACGACGACGACGAGGACAACTGCTACGACTACGACCACAACAACAACAACTTCTACTACTACTACGACGACTTCAACGACTCCGACAACTACGGTAAGGAATGGAATTCATAGAAATAGACCTAAAAATGTTAGCGTATTTTATTCGCCATCTTGAGTAACTACAGATAACTACTACCAACGAATCAAAAATGCTTGAAATTGAAATTCTCCTCTTTTTTTAGAGAAAACCCTTCTCCCCGATCACGTTCGTACCAGAGCCGACGTCGAGTAAGTTGCAGGCTAGAAACTCCTTATTTCTTTTTTAAGAGGCGTGTGGCTGCCAGATGCCTCAACCCATTTCGTCTACAACGCTGGAAGTGATTGGGTAGTTAGAAAATCTGGGATTTTGAACCATTGTACAAATTTAGGACCCGAAAACGTCGTAGTCAGGATCCGGCCCTAGAAGAGTAAGTTCAGAATCAATGAATTGACCAGAATCAATCTTTTAGGAATTGTTATAACCCTTACAACACCACCATCCAATGCACGGCTAATATGAATTTAATGGCAACGCAGAAGCTATATGACAAGGTAAGGGAGTATAAGGTATGCAAGGTAAAACCAGGTATTTATAGGGCTATAAATTAAGGCAAAATGAAGAAGAAAGACGTTTTTAGGATCGAAACGTCGTCAGAACGCTAAATTACTGCACTGGTGCAAACAAGAGCAGCGACTATCTATTGTCAGAGAGCTTCTGGGAATTCGAATAATCATTATATCTATAAACAGGTAACTGATACATTTTTTTGTAGTAAATTCCTGGTGTCTAGGATCCAAAATCTATCGGATACTCGTGCGACGTGGCTTGGAGTGCGGAATGTGCTTGAGGAAAATAATAAAAAGGCTTATTGTGATTTATAGCCAGGGGAGCAACAGGCATTTTTCAAATATTTGACGCTAGAGCCCTCGAAAACCCCATCAAAATCCCGAATCCGTACCAAAGCGCGACATTCCTGAAAATCTTAAATTATTGGAATTATAAGTAAAGAAGATGGTAAAGGTATCAGGTAGTAAAAGCTAATGTACGCCTTGCACTGAAGCAAAACATGCCATAAAACAGCAAACAGCCACAAAAGCAAAGAAAGATACAAATAATGACCTACCAGCCAGCTTCCGGATTTGGAATGATCTACTTATCGATCCGGCCAGGTTGAGACTTTGCAGGTCCATGTACCCGGAATGGGCTTGGATTGAAACTTATCAAGAAAATAGGTGCTGTTGATTGTATTTAAATTTCTATTAAACGAAAACTGGGCTCATTCATCGAAATTTCGAAAAACCAGTTATCTTTGTCATTTTGCAAGAAAAGTGTTTGCGCCCTTCTTTCGTAAAATATGCCGGATATGGTACGAGAATTTTGATCTTTTGAAGAACGAACCTTCGCGAGAATTTGCTTTTCGGGTCCCTTTAGAATAAAAATTTCCTACCTGGTCCCTAACTTCCAAGTAAGGGATCTCTAGCATAAATGGCTGCAGCTTTTTGACACGCTGCATCGCGTATTCGGCTTGGGTGATGTTTTCACCACTTTCTTTGCCATTCCCATAGCATTGTCACCCCCGCCAGCCACTTGGCAGTTGAGCTTCACCTAAAAAACAATCCAAAATTAACCACTCAAGGATCGATACTTATCCCCCAGAAATTTCGTGTATTCTTCGGGTTCCCATTGCATAAACCAGGGAGGGAAGTAGACTCCTGGAAATAGATTTTTAGGATTCAGAATAAAGACAGAAAGAGAGAGAAAGAGAGAGAGAGAGAGAGAGAGAGAGAGAGCGTGAGAGAGGGGGATTGATAATGCGAGGATAGCTAAAGGGCATGAGAGCGTGAGAGCGAAGGAGCACGAGATAGAGCACCAGAGCGAGAGAACGAGAGCGTGCGAGTATGAGAGTAAAAGAAACTGAGAGAGCACGGGAGCGAGAGAGCAAGAGAGGAACTATGTGAAGTTCCAAGAACACAATAAAACGGAAAGGCAGCTTGTGATTATCACTATTACGACTTTTCTTCCGCTTTTGTAAATTTGCGATAAATTGCTGTTTCTCAAGATTTCCCTGTAATTAGGTATGCACCCTATTCTCTCTCTGAGTCTTTTGCCGTATTTGGTGCCCAAATTTATGAATTTTCCACTTTTTCAACTACCCCAACTTTCAAACGGCTGACCCCGCGGGGTGTGGCAGTGTGCGCATTTTCAGTTGGTTGGGGGGGGGGCTGGAGCGATGGATTAGTCAATTTGTCGAGCGTCTTTGCTTTTTCGGGGGGCGACCCCAAGGTGGAGAAGATTTGTGCTGCCGGGCTGGGCTGGCTGCGGGGAGACTGATGGGAAATTTGAGGTCATCCTCGCCCCACGACTAATAGAACTGTTACGAAAATTACGTGCTAAAATTTGGCAACTTATACTAGAGCATAGTGTAGGTCGGGAGAGAGAGAGTGAGAGAGCGATAGAGAGAGCGAGAGAGAGTGAGGGCGAGATAGGGGAGAGAGACCTACCGCATAAGCCGTCGGCGGAAACGCAGACCGCTCCGTGTAAATCCTTGCCAATACAGTAGGAATATAAAAAACGTCGAAGAACGGCGTGGTTCCTCGCACCCATCGTCACCACCGAAACATCGCAGGGACGTAGCTGCAAAAAGGCACGTTTCAACTGCTTGAAGTAGGAAAGCAATGATAATAGATAAATGGAAAATAAATGTTAAATTGGATCTGAGAAATGAAAAATTGGATAAATGGCCAACTACTGAATAAAAAATAAAATTCGCGAAAGAAAGAAAGAAGAGCAAGCAGCCCGGAGCCAGAAATAATAAAGAGAGAGAGAGAGAGAGAGAGAGAGAGAGAGAGAGAGAGCTAAGGAGGGCGAAAGAGTGAAGAAAAACGAGCAAGAGAGCCCGAAAGAGAGAGCGAGAGAGCGAATAGTCAGAGAACGTGAGAGAAAGCGATGGGGTTATGGAAAAAAATAAAGGTGGTGAACACGAGAGTGCGAGAGAGCGGGAGAAAACGAAAACGGTAAAAGGTGATAGATAGGAAAATCGGCCATTTGGCAAAATTAGAATTAATCATTGGATCAAACGGGATTCGATTCATCGAGCAAAATCAATACTAAGTACTCTCTTATCACTCCAAAATCACGTCAATTTTCCTGCAAATTCACGCTCAAAATTAGTCTGGCTTTGGTGATGGGCGAGAGGTAGGGGTAGACCCGGAGGGGAGGAGCTGGTTCAGCACCCCGAATCAGTCGGTGTTGGAGGATGCGGGGTGTGATGGAAGACGGGAGACATTGAGGAGCACGATTGGCTTGATTGCACACATACACAGCCATAACCACTTTTATTGACAAAACCTAATTAACAGGGTCGATTATGGCAGGTGATAGGGGAATAATTGGCGTGAACGCTAAACGGTGCGTTACGAGCTACGTTATTTCAATCAATTCTTAAAAATGGTCCCCTAGCGCAAAATACTACAAATAGTACCTCCCACTAATCTCTAAAGACATTTTATAAAGGATTCCAGGAAGTTTTACAAATGAATAAATCTTACAAAAAAACATAAAATGTTCCCCTCAAGAAAACAACATCCCCATCTCGAATTCCTGGAAATTCCTACTCGCCCCACTCCAAAATGCACAAATCAGGTGACTGGGACGATCCCAAAAAGGTGGAAGACTAGATTCTTTAAAATGACAAGGCAACTAGTTTCGCTGAGCTGCTCTGACTAGTCCGGGATTTTCGGATTTGGAAATTGGAACTGTCGAAACACAGAAAGTGATAATCCCATCGCACGCAAACGCACGCGGCGCTGGCACCTGACCCCGGACTCATATTTCAAGAATGCAAGGTCATTCTTGGGGTTGACGACTTTTCCGAAAACTACGCTGCCATACTATGGTGATGGTAGATCGAAAAGGAAGGAAAAGAGACGGATAGGAAGATCTAGATTTAGATTTGTATCTAAATTTGGCCCTGAAATCAGATCAATTGACCTTAGAAAATCGTTAGTCACCGGGATTTCCAAAAAAAAACAAAGTTGAAATGGTGAGTCAGGAGTAGCGTGTATCGTATCACGTGAAAATCATGAAATTGCATACAAAATAGTCTTGGAGTTAAAAATCCCGCATTTAGCGAGAGAAAAATAAGATTTTTGGCGACTCCGGAAGGCTACGATAGGCCAGAGAAATCTGCCTTCCTAATCCCCTTTTGCAAGCGGTTAAACGACGATAAATCCAAGCCTAAGCCTGGGTCTCCAAAAAGCCTAAGCCTAAGCCTTAAGCCCAAGCCCCAAGCTACTTCCAAGCATAAGCCCAAGCCTAAACCTAAGCCCCAAGCCTACGCTCTCTGCTTTCATGCCTGCGCTTCCAAGCCCAAGCCGAAGCCTGGGCCTAAGCCTCCAGCCTGGGCCCAAGCCTAAGCCCAAGCCTGGGCCCAAGCCTAAGCCCCCGCTTCTCCAAGCCCAAGCCCAAATAACATAATTAGGGCCATAATGAGTATACCCGGGTATGGAATGAGTCAGAAGAAGACTATGGATGTAGGGGGGTATAAGGAAACGGAGAGAAGAACCGGGGGCTACGGCTGTCTTTCACCCCGTCTTCCCATTCATTGATCCAATCATTTTCACCCAACCACCGGCACAGCCCAGACCATCATTCTGCTCTCCCTCGCGCGCCGCGCGCGAGTTCTACGGATGCCCCCCCAAAAAAGGCGGTCGATCCATGTGCAGGGGTTTTAAAAGGAGAGTGGGCAGTATGAAACAAATAAATCCAATTAAAGCGGATCAAACTGTTTCCTCACCTTTAAATTAGACCCAATGGCCCTGCTGGTGTGGGAGGTAAGGCGAGGCATGGTAAGAAAGTGAGGTCAAACTCCAAACGGATTCTTTTTCTCCATTCTGAATTCTGAACCTGCCTCTATCATGCTCTCAAGCGTCTCTAGTTTACACGAGTGAAACGAAGCGCGACGTAGCCGTAACCTACGCGTCACGCTCATACTTATATTTTTGGTAGATTTTGGTAGTTTTGGAGAAGCCTGAAAACGAAAATGAGAGAAAGAGAGAGAGAGAGAGAGAGAGAGAGAGAGAGAGAGAGAGAGAGAGAGAAAGAGAGAGAGAGAGAAAGGGGGACAGCGAGCGAGAAAAGAGTCCTAGAGAAAAATAGGTATTTGAACCACGTACCATAAAGCTGATATACACAAGATTCTGCGAAAGTCTGTAAATTTCGACAAAGAGCCTCATGATCCCGGCTAAATTATGCCCCACTAATTAGCCGACTAATCTCCGCCAAAATCTCAAAATCTACCAAAGCGTCCCGGGTCTCGGCCACCCCCTAGGGCGAGATTTCGGGTGGGTGGGTGGCGCGGCTGTCGACGGTATTGGATATCAGAATCTAACCCCCCCCCCGCGCTAGTCATAAACAAGATTCCACCCCCGATCGCTGGCTCATCCCGCGCGCTTTACGCGTGCCAATATGCTTTACGGGGTGCACATTGGGGAGTGGGAAGTGCCGAAATTAGGCTATTAAAGGGCCACAAGAGCTTAGACTTCCTGACGAGCTATCCTAAAAATTAACATTAAGAGGAGATTACAAGGTCTTAGATCTTAGACTCTTGCC